TGCATAAACATACATTTTCACACAATGTCAAGGAGCACACAATCAAACCCCTACCCTCCACTGGGTGTGGCAGAACACACAAGGGGATAAACCCCAGTACCAAGAGTTTACCTTAATTTCACAAGCAATTCTCCTCAACGTAAGCTCCAAGCTTAATCCACTTCTATCGATTCCGTGAGAGGTAATCAACAAGACCATATGCAATATGATCAATCCACAACTTGCATTGCAAATAATTTAAACTCACAACAATAATACCCAACCTAATCACATAGGCCTAAGGGCTATCTTACACTCATTTCCATTTGTCCTCTCATTTTAATCATTAAACTAACCATTCCATCATTTTATGCACCAAAGCATCAATCATTGATTTACCATATTTCCACATCAAGCATCAATAAAGTGTGTGTGTCTGTGTGTATATATTTGAATGGTATAAAATTTGGACACAATAAAATAAAAAAGTAGAATATTTCATTTTCTCTTCAACGCCACCACTGAAAACCCAAAAAATATTCTACTTTTGATTCAACATTTTGCGCCACAATTAAAAAATAAAATAATTATAAGTTTTTTTGCATATTTCTTTGTTCTACTTTAAGCTATACCAAATCTAAGTTTTATCCTGGTAACGTTTATTTCCTAATATCAAAGAAAATAAATAAATATTTCTTGAATTTTATAGAATTTGCCTAAGCCAAAAACGTCAAGTATTTTTACGTACCTTGCCTCGAGAAAAGAACAACTCTATATAGACACAATAGTCAACATAGCATCTTTTCCATTAAAAAAATAATAATTAAAATAATATTGACACATAACAACACCTCAAAGAAACGCTAGTTCACCGACAATCTTATGAGGCACTAGGTGGAATAACGCCCTTGAGGCTGTTAATTGTCACTTTCAAATACATTTTTTTGAACAAAATCAAGAGAGAAAGATAAAAAAAGTTGGAACACTTCATTTTCTCTCCAACGTCATCACTGAAAACCCAAAAAATATTCTATTTTTTATTTAACATTTTGCGTTACGATTTGAAAAAAAAATTATAAAATTTATTGCATATTTATTGATTCAACTTGAAGCTAACCCAATCTAAGTTTGAGTTTGGTAACATTCTTTCCTAATAGCAAAGAAAATAAATAAATATTACTTGAATTTTATAGAAATTTTCTACAATAAAAAAAAAACATACATTTGTTTATCCAAAAAATAAAAAATTAGACATTTTACTCCAATCTTATCACTAAGAATCCAATAAATACCTAATTTTCTCGAAAAAATATGTAACAAAAAGGTCATTTGTTATTAAATTTCCATAGATATAAGATTTAAAGCCAAGAACGGTCAAGTTTTTTTACTTTGCCTCGAGAAAAAAATAACACTCCATTGACGCACTAGTCTACATAGTATCTCTTCCATTAAAAAAATAAAATAATAATTAAAAGAATTTTGACACGTAACAACACTTCAAAGAAACGCTAGTTCACCGAAAATCATATAAGGCACTAGCTGGAATAACGCTCCTAGAGCAGTTAATTGTCACTGTCAAATATATATTTTTTAAAGAAAAGAAAGAGAGAAAAACAAAACCAATAGTTTTCATGAAACAAGCAATGCAAAATTGATTTTCCTTTGTTTTCAATGTTTTGCACTTGTTTTGCCCTTAAATCCTTAAGGGAACAATCTTAATGAAAATAAGCGAAATAAAAACTAAGATTCTGATAAATAAATAAAAAGAATTAAAATGCATGAAGGAGAAGGTCAAAACAACCACTAGGACACAAAATTTACCCACTTTAATCTTATCTTCGGCTACTAAATCATAACCGTAGAAAGATTGATCAATGGTGATAAAGGAAGAGAGAGAAAAAGGGAATCATAACCATTCAAAGGTGAATCAATTAATATAAAGAAATAAATAAATAAAACGACGTAGTTTTGGGTAGCCGAAAATAAACTTATCTCAAGCAGCTTGAGAAATATTTTTCCCTATATATATATATATATATATATATATATATATATATATATATATATATATATATATATTGTTTGAATGTTACAAAATTATTATACAATAAAATTAAAAGTTGGAACACTTCATTTTCTCTCCAACGTCATCACTGAAAACCCAAAAAATATTCTATTTTTTATTTAACATTTTGCGTTACGATTTGAAAAAAAAATTATAAAATTTATTGCATATTTATTGATTCAACTTGAAGCTAACCCAATCTAAGTTTGAGTTTGGTAACATTCTTTCCTAATAGCAAAGAAAATAAATAAATATTACTTGAATTTTATAGAAATTTTCTACAATAAAAAAAAACCATACATTTGTTTATCCAAAAAATAAAAAATCAGACATTTTACTCCAATCTTATCACTAAGAATCCAATAAATACCTAATTTTCTCGAAAAAAATATGTAACAAAAAGGTCATTTGTTATTAAATTTCCATAGATATAAGATTTAAAGCCAAGAACGGTCAAGTTTTTTTACTTTGCCTCGAGAAAAAAATAACACTCCATTGACGCTCTAGTCTACATAGTATCTCTTCCATTAAAAAAATAAAATAATAATTAAAAGAATATTGACACGTAACAACACTTCAAAGAAACGCTAGTTCACCGAAAATCATATAAGGCACTAGCTGGAATAACGCTCCTAGAGCAGTTAATTGTCACTGTCAAATATATATTTTTTAAAGAAAAGAAAGAGAAAAAAACAAAACCAATAGTTTTCATGAAACAAGTAATGCAAAATTGATTTTCCTTTGTTTTCAATGTTTTGCACTTGTTTTGCCCTTAAATCCCTAAGGGAACAATCTTAATGAAAATAAGCAAAATAAAAACTAAGATTCTGATAAATAAATAAAAAGAATTAAAATGCATGAAGGAGAAGGCCAAAACAACCACTAGGACACAAAATTTACCCACTTTAATCTTATCTTCGGCTACTAAATCATAACCGTACAAAGATTGATCAATGGTGATAAAAGAAGAGAGAGAAAAAGGGAATCATAACCATTCAAAGGTGAATCAATTAATATAAAGAAATAAATAAATAAAACGACATAGTTTTGGGTAGCCAAAAATAAACTTATCTCAAGCAGCTTGAGAAATATTTTTCCCTATATATATATATATTGTTTGAATGTTACAAAATTATTATACAATAAAATTAAAAGTTGGAACACTTCATTTTCTCTCCAACGTCATCACTGAAAACCCAAAAAATATTCTATTTTTGATTTAACATTTTGCGTTACGATTTGAAAAAAAAATTATAAAATTTATTGCATATTTATTTATTCAACTTGAAGCTAACCCAATCTAAGTTTGAGTTTGGTACATTCTTTCCTAATAGCAAAGAAAATAAATAAATATTACTTGAATTTTATAGAAATTTTCTCAACATCAACAACACCTTTATCCCAAATTAATTGGGGTCGGTGGTAGATGAACCCACATGAAAGATACAAAACGGTTGAAAAAAAGTAAAAAAAAATAAAAAATAAAAAATAAATAAATAAATAAATAAAAATACACAAATAAAATAATAAAATAAAATAAAATGAAATAAAAATATATGTATATATAAATAAATAAAAGTAAAAAAGAAAGGGACAAGAAGAAGCGGGGGAAATGAAGGGGAAAAGGACTAAAAAAGGACCATCTGGAACATAGGAATAACAGCGAGTCTAACCCTCCACCATACTTATAGCTTTTCTCCATTCCTTTCTAAGACATACTTTCCGCCAATCTAAACCCTAAACCCTAAACCCTAATTTTATAGAAATTTTCTACAATAAAAAAAACCATACATTTGTTTATCCAAAAAATAAAAAATCAAACATTTTAATTACTCCAATCTTATCACTAAAAATCCAATAAATACCTAATTTTCTCGAAAAAATATGTAACAAAAAGGTCATTTGTTATTAAATTTCTATAGATATAAGATTTAAAGCCAAGAACAGTCAAGTTTTTTTACTTTGCCTCGAGAAAAAAATAACACTCCATTGACGCACTAGTCTACATAGTATCTCTTTCATTAAAAAATATAATAATAATTATAAAAATATTGACACGTAACAACACTTCAAAGAAACGCTAGTTCACCGAAAATCATATAAGACACTAGCTAGAATAACGCTCCTAGAGCATTTAATTGTCACTATCAAATATATTTTTTTAAAGAAAAGAAAGAGAGGAAAACAAAAACCAATAGTTTTCATGAAACAAGTAATGCAAAATTGATTTTCCTTTGTTTTCAATGTTTTGCTCCCCAAGGGAACAATTTTAATGAAAATAAGCGAAATAAAAACTAAGATTATGATAAATAAATAAATAAAAATTAAAATGCACGAAGGAGAAGGCCAAAACAACCACTAGACACAAAATTTCCCCACTTTTTTCAGTGCGTGGGAGAAGCTAAAAAGGTTTGCACTCTGCTGTTAGCAGAAGAAAGTAAGGACCCAGAGACAAGCATAGACGTATAAAAAGACACGAAAAACGGAAAAATGCAGTTGAGAAGGCAATGGTGGTACCGAGAAGGTTCCTGCTTCCAACAACTGTCTTAGGACTGAGTATATGTGATTCAGTATATACAAACAAAATAAAAAGCTCATCTATTTTTAGCTTCATAATCATCTACGCAACCATTTTTTCAAGCTCTTTCTGCAAAACAATAATACTATCTAGAACATGCACAAATAAAAAAATTTAACACTGATAACCAAAGACCGATTCTCGAACAATAATCTACTTTATTTGAAATGGAAACTCAAAACATTACATTACTAAAACAACAATAAGGAATACCGAAGATATCCCCTACCATTCTCCATACTATAAGAAAATAAAATTAACATGAAACAGTACAAAGATAGAAACCCTATCATATGATGCAAACTCCCACCTTCCAACTTGGAATGGTGGCTGAGACAATAACTAGAAACTCAAAAACACACACGTTCAAATTCATTTCTAGGTCTTCTTTCCAAGAGTGTGCTTGTTGTTATGCATCCAAACCTTGAACACTTGACGCTTCACCCCAATCTCGTTACAGAACTCTTCCACCACATTCTCGTCTTGCTTCTGAATTCTCCAACCCAATTTCTCAGCAAAGCACAGCATCTTGTCCTTCTGTTCCTGAGTGAACTTGGTCCTGAACCTCTTCTTCGACCCACCACCACGTGGCTCCGAAGCATCTTCTTGATCATCCCTCGAGGTCTGGGTCCCACCACCACCACCAGCCGACGGCAGCACCAGTGTCGCCGCCCCTCTCTGCTGTCCCGCAACCGGCATGTACCCCGCCGGGGTCCACGCCGCGAATGGCGGCTGTTGGTAGCGGCGGGATAAAAACGGCTCTCCGGGGATAATTTCGGTCTCCTTTCTGTGAAAGTTACGGTGGCAGTTGCACGCGACGCACCTGAGCGCGTCGAGTGTGCCATCAGCACCGGCAGCCATGAACTCGCCGCAACCGTCAAGCGCGTGGCCTCCAATCCCCACAGCGTGGTTCTTGAGACACTCCCAGTACCTTCCCTTGCCACTGTTTCTGATCACGGGCTGAGCCAGCATGATTGGTTCTTCACCTGCATTCGGCATTTTCACACGTGATGGGTTGACCACTGAGTCATCACTCGCTCCCTCCACTTCCATCTCAACATCTTGCTTCTCGAATTCCATTTTCTCACGAAGATGGAAACTCTTTGATTTTTCTCTCTAATCTCTGTTTTGCTCAGGAACATTGTGCAATCTCTTTTTATAGTGTGACATGGGGTTGCTTAGTGGTGTAAAACAATTATCATTAAAAAACAAAAAACCAAATATGTTAAATGCTACTATTGATGGTTAGTAATTTTTTATTTTGACTAAACAATTCATTTTAGCCTATTAAATGTGCAACCTCATTATTTATTATTTTCAATAAATATTATGATTCTTTAATATTAAATTTTAATATAAAATTGTTTCATTTAAATACAAAAAGTTAAAAAAGAAGTTGAGTGTTGGATGGACTTTTTCCTCCAAAAGTTGCTTTTTTCCTTAAAAAAGCACTTCTCATTTTTAGTTTGTTTGGATGTCTACTTTTAAAAAAGCGTAAGTCACAAAAAAGTCAAAAGCCTACTTTTTCAGAAGCTAAACATTTTAACTTCTAGAAAAAGCAGAAGTCAAAAGTCAAATATTTTTTAAAAAAACTAAATATTTTTATAAAAATATAAATAGCTTTAACTTTTGTAAAAAATACTTTTAAAATAAGGAAGAGATAAAAATTACTTATTTTAGAAGGCTAAACAATCGGGCTCTAAATACAAGTTAAATATATTTAAAATCTATTTTAACACCAAATAGGATCTTTTGATTCCAGTGAAATATTAAGAAGTTTTAGTGCCTCTTTTGGGAGCTTTTGTTTTTAACTTTTTCTTTCCTTATAAGCAAAAGCTTAACTAAACATAATTTTATAAAAGTTTTAATAATAAAAAGCTTTTTTTTATAACAAAGAAAAAAACTAAAAGTTAAAATCTCCTAGGCGAGCTTCTTTTTAAGATGTATGTCAACTTTTTTGAATTTTCATATTTATTTTTTAAATATACACATATTCTAAATTTTTATTTGTGAACTTTATCATTTATCTTTATAATTTACCTTGATAATAAATTATTTCATTTCTCTCCCTTCAAAATCTTAAGAACAATTTTATATAATTATCAAATAATTTTTAGCTTTATTTTTTAAATTTTTCTTTTTTTAACTTTAAGTTAAACGTAACTTTTAGCTTAAAGAAAGGATGTCCCAAATAGGCTCTTACTATTTATTTCAGCCATAGATTTTCATTAATTTGACCAATGTAGCTTATTTCAAATTAATAATTAATATATAGATGTAACTCAATAAACTATAATTGTTATATTGACAGAAATAAATAGTTGTGACAAAAAGTAAGACTTCTTAGTCTTATACTCCAATCAAAATATGCTCCTCTTTTAAGATATTTAATGTAAGAATATTAAATTAATTTTTTATATTTTTTATGTTTTGATTTTATTAACAAATTATTTAAAAAGTTTAGTTGTTTTAATAATTATTTTATAACATGTTATATAATTAAATAATAATAAAAATGTGTTTAGTTTTAGAAAAAATTATTCTTATACTACATTTGATAACTTTCTCTCTTCGACAACTATGCTATTTTTTTTATTTTTTTTTCAGATGATGGAGCCGCCCACAAATTTATCTATGATATGAGATAATTTATTTCCTTTAACGTGAAATTAATAAAACGCTTAATTTTTCCACTCACTGTCGTAGGTACAGTAGAACTGTGCAGAGATGGCAGGAGGAAGCATGGGACGAGGACAAATGAGAAAAAAAATAAAAAAGGAAAAAGGAAACGTTAGTTGTACAAATATTGGGAAATCCATATAGGAAAATAAAATTTTGGCCAAGCCGGTGAGCCAAAACGCCAATGGCAAACACTAAAATCTGCGCGAGTCAAATTCAGGGGTGCACGCATTCCAGTACACTGACGTAAAGTAGGGCCCGCGAATAACAGGGTGAGTGTCAGCGCGTGAGTGATGAGAGAGTGGTGAGGGATTGTTTTGTTCCCACGTACGAGGTAACAAGTGTTCGAAGAGTGAGGATGTTTGGTGGCACGACCTGGTTGCGTATCAGGATAATATTATTTGGTATTATTTGATAATATAGGATAATAGAATATTCACACTATTATGTATTATTGAAGGGAAAGTCACTTACTTTATTTTTTATTTTTCTATGGAGTAATTTAGGTAAAAAAATTTATAAAAGTAATATTTCTTTTCAAAATTATTGATATAAGAATGACATGTAACAATCAGGAAGAGAAATGACATTACATGTTTCAGAGATAAATTAACCCATCAATCACCTTGTAAGATCAAGATGCTAGGTGGGAATAATGTTCCTATAAATATAATAGTAATACAAAAGAATATTAATGTGATTTTGACTTTTAAATTTTTAATTTTTTTCATTACATCTCTTTAAATAGAAGGCTTTATAGAAGAAAAAAAAGAGGTAATATATAATCGTTATGAGTCATCTATCACCTTATAAGGGGCTAGGTGGAATAGTGTTCCTGTGAATAAACTCAAATGCAAAATAATATCAATGTGGTTTTGACTTTTCAATTTTTTGTCATTAAATCCCTTAAAATAGAAGGCTTTGTAGAAGAAGAAAAAAGTAATACATAATTGTCATTAGCACGAGATTATTTATTGTGGACCGGGACCACCATTTTTTAGGTGGTCCTTTAGTATAAATAGGAGGGTAAAATTAGAAAAGAGAGAAAATAACAGGAATAAAAAGAGAAAGAAAAAATTAATGTTGTGAGAAAGAGCATCAAAAAATTCGATGGTCCTGGACCATAAAAAATATTTTCCATTAGCACACCTACCACCTCATAAGGGGTTAGGTCATAGGTGCAATAGTGCCTTTGTTAATAAACTCTTAAGTGCAAAATAATATGAATGTGGTTTGGACATTTTTATTTTATTTTTTTGTCATTAATCTCTTTATATAAAAGGCTTTCCGGAAGAAGAAAAAAAGTAATATATAATCATCATTAGCCACGTATCACTTTACGAGTAATAGTGCCCTTATGAATAAGGGAAAAAAGTTTCCGATGTTACTTTAGATAACTTTATCTAATGTTCATCGAAACGACGTCGTTTTGGGGTTGAAAAATTAAAAAAGTAGAGTGATAAAGACTATTATAACCCTGAAATAAATTAAAATTACAAAAATACCATGATTTCCGTCCCAAAACAACGTCGTTTTGATGAACATTAGATAAAGTTATCTAAAGTAACATCAGAAAAAACAAACCCTATAAATAAACTAGTAATAAACTAGTAATGCAAAATAACATCAATACGGTTTTGACTTTTCGATTTCTAATGTTTGTATTTAAATATCTTTAAATAGTAGAATTTCAAGAAAGAAAAAAGAGTAATATATAACCGTCACCGGCCATTAAATTTCCATAAAAACAAGGCTCAAAGCTTAGAGCGGACATTTAATTTTTAAAATAAAAAAGATAAAGATAAGAAGAATATGAATATTTACATTAATGAGGTTTTCAATTTTCAAATTTTAACAGTCTACCATTAAATTGCGAAGAAAACAATTCTATGCCATTGAATATCTATAAATACACAGCTTAAAAGCCGGAAGCGGTTATTAATTTTTAAATAAAAAACTAAGAAAGATAAAAAAGGAGTCTTCCTTAGAGAAACAAAAATTCTCATTAGCCACTTACTACCTTATAAGGGGCTAGGTGGAATAGTGCCCCCGTGAATAAACTCGTAAAGGCAAAATAACATCAACGTGATTTTGACTTTTTATTTTTTATTTTTTTTCATTAAAACTCTTTAAATAAAAGGCTTTCTAGAGAGAGACAAAAGAAAAAAGGAGTAATACATAATCATCATCAGCCACATATCACCTTATAAGGTGTTAGGCAGAATATTACCCTTAAATAAACTAGTAATGCAAAATAACATCAATGCAGTTTTGGCTTTTAAATTTTTGATTTTTGTCATTGAATCTCTTTAGATAGAATGTTTTCTATAAAAAAAAGGATAATATATAATCGTCATTGGCCATTAAATATCCATAAATACAAGGCTTAGAAGTCTAGAGCCGTCACTTAATTTTTAAAATAAAAAAAGAGAAAGATAAGAAGAATATGAAGATTTACATGAATGGAGTCTTTTCAATTTTCAACAGTCTACCATTAGATTATGGAGAAAACAATCCTATGCCATTGAATCTCCATAAATACATAGCTTAAAAGTCGGAAAAGATTATTAATTTTCTCAATAAAATAGTGAAAAAGTAGAAAAAGGTCTTCCATAGAGAAACATAAATTGTCATTAGCCACCTATAACCTTATACGGGACTAGGTGGAATAGTGCCCTTGTGAATACACTCGTAAAAGCAAAGTAACATCAAGTGATTTTGACTATTCAGTTTTTAATTTTTTGTCATTAAATTTCTTTACGTGCCTGGGAGCTCATATTTTTAGCTTATCTTCTCCTTATAAACAAAAGCTTAGTCAAATATAATTTTATAAAATCCCTTATCATAAAATGGGTTTTTTTATAATGAAAAAAAACTAAAAGCTCCCAATAGGAGTTTTTTGTAAGATGTATGTCAATTTTTTGGCAATTCTCACATTTATTATTAAATGATACCTTTATTTTAAACTTTTATTTATAGATTTTATCATTTATCTTAATAATTTACCCTAATGACAAATCATTTAATCTCCCTTCCTTCAAAACCCTACGAACAACTTTTTTTTGAGTGAACTCATTGTAACGCCCGATCGCTTCAAGAATCAATGACTATCCCCACATACTAACACGAGATTTTTCAGTGTGCTTTTTCCTCACTCCCACACTTCCCGGGAAAACATCCCAAGAGGTCACCCATCCCAGAATTGCTCCAAGTCAAGCACGCTTAACTATGGAGTTATCTGATCCGGGCAACCGAAAAGCAGATGCATCTTGTTAGCATAGGTAGTACCAATTAATTCTTATAAGTTATCCCAAACTGTACAACCTTATACCTGCACAGCCTTTGAAATCTCTCTCTTTCGGGTGTCGATTCGATTCATTCATGCAAGTAACCCCCCGCTG